TTTTATTATTAAGGATATTTTCTTAATTAATAAAGATAAAAGAAATTTATTTTATTTTCAATGATATTAGAAATTATATATAATATATTTCTAGAGAAAATTATGATAAATGTTAAAGATCTTTTGTTGATGCTCATGAACTTTGTTTCTCATAGTATGATGAAGATGATTCTAAAGCAAACAGATAAATTCTGTATGGGTTTTCATATCCAGGCGATGTACTAAGCTTGGGTGTGGTGTGTGAATATGAGTGAGAGTACGGATGAAGAGGACACGCATACCCACATCCTAGTTCTATTTATTAACTATAAAAGAAGATATTACATTTCGAAATAAATAAGAAATTAAGAATCAGAAATCTTTATGTATATAATCGTATTAAATAGAAGTAAGTGACAGATTTGATTAATAGTCACCCATTAATTCAATCTATAATTATATGAATATTCGATGTGATATTATTACTCAATGATCTTCTTTATATAGAATATTCTACTTAAACTCAAGTGTTTTTCACTATATGTATACTTTACAACAAATAAACTTGCCAGTAAAGTTGTGCTACTCATTCGTCAAATGTTACATTTGGAAAAACTCACATTATCTCTCCGTATTCATGAACAAACTACATTCATTGATGAAAATGATCTGCACAACTATATAGTCAGTAAAATGTCATGTTTAATCGACTACTTAGACCTTCTATTGATGATATTCAACGCACATTCACCGAAAAAGGACATCGTATTGATTGCTACATCGACCATCGTAATAATAGAATTGATCGATGTCACGTTTATTCACTTCCGTTCAATATGGAATGTATACATCTCATTTATGCATAGATCTCCTGGTGGTATATTTATGAATGTTCGCATTCTGTGTATATTCGACTATGATCGTCCTTTCGAACACGATTATTTTGCTAAAATCTCGCTTTCATTTCCATTACTTCATCATCTGAAAATCATCAATACACTACCACAAAATGATAAAAATAGTCACAACATCTAGTGAAGCCTGAAGAAACATCCGCAATAATTGAATATTCGCATCTTGTTCAACTTAATTGTACTGGTGCACATATTGACTATGTGAAACAATTTCGTTGCAACTTGAATACATGTCTACCTTGTCTTAGCGAGCTTCATGTTAACTATGAATATATATATAGTAACTGTTACAGAGAATTTTACAAGAAATGTAGCACGTATGAATTGTTCAAAAAACTTTTATCTCTATTTTTCTTTATTGTATCACGATAAATATAATTAATAGATTTGTTTAATATATCAATAAAGTAAAAAGAAAAATAACTACTTCTAAAAACTATTACTATGAAAATATTGACTGCATATTGTCATTGACACACCCACTGTTATATGGTGAACCCGTGTTTTTTTTTTCGAGTGACTTGAAGTTTTGAATTTTTGTTTTTTGAAAAGTTTTCTCATTGAACACTGTTTTAATGATGATAATAATATCATATTATCGATGCAGTGAAGTCGGGTGGATGTGGATATTGGTGTAGTTCTTCTCTTAACCAGCATACTCTATTTTTGAATTAAGGCATTTTTCTTTTGTTTTTTTCACCTACAATCGTGCATATATTCAATAGAAGTAACAAATCTTAATCGAATTTTGAATTAGCTAGCATAATACACTTTTTTTTTGTTTTTTTTATTAAAGTTTGAAGGTCTTCTTTTTGTTTTAATTTCAATATTGAATCTTAATAGATGTTTATTCGATCATGCCTTTTTTTTTCTCTTCAAATACATCAACAAACAGTGAGCTTCTACTATGTCTTATGCAAGCATTTTCTCTGGTAGAGATTTTTGTTTTATTCAGCAGAAGTTCTCCACGAAGTTGTAATGAAATGAATTGTACTAAATCCGGTTACCTTTCTTTCTGATATTCTATGCATTAAAAACTTTTCTTTACATGCCAAAAGATGGAGTTTTAAACTCTAGAAAATTGTCGAATCTTAATTTAAACAAAAACGTTTTTCTTGTTAAAACCAAATACAAATGATGATCATCTACACTTTAAACAAATCTTTTTGAGCTCGGTAGGAGATATGAAATCTTAAATAGTTTCTCCCATCGGTACACACGTGAAACATTTACTATGGAATCTTTTTAACATGCATGGAACAAGAAAAAAAATATGAAATCGTTCAGGTATGATATGAAACTTTGAAGTTTTCGCATTATACCCTAAAGGAGTCAGTCGTATCAAAGCTCAATAGTTCCGTATTTCTTATACTGAACTTTTGTTTTTGTTCCAAGAATTTTAAAAAGGTTTCATAGCCAAGATATCGGCCGTGTGCAATCGATAAATGTTCCTGGATATTTAAACGGAAGGTTCTCTTCGGAAAAGTACCGTTGTCCTGTAATTAGTGCCAACGAAGAATTACTAGAAGAAAATAAGATATTATTAAACTTCTGTATGAAAATCCTTTTCGAAGTGAACAGATATTTATTTTTAGGAAGCAACTAAATCTGACAAAAATAATATTTGCTCTAGAAACAATGCTATAGGTTTGGCTACGTTTTCTTTGCAGATATTAGATATTTTGGTAGAGCTTCTGTTACATAGAAAACTCTGCCATTCGTCCTTCATGCTTTCGATAAGCCCAAACATAGATCAAAGTAATATGTAGCATCTCTTCAATACGAATCTATGAATATTGGAAACACAAAAGGGTAATCAGATGAACCATGAAATATCTGAAAGAGAAATAAAATATCACTATCGTTGATATTGGAGAAACTTGTAAAGCATTGTGACGACTGCATTTCTATGGCATGTTTACAGGTTACTCGTGTCCTGTAGGACTCTACATATGATATCTTTACAAGAAATGAGAAGTTCTTCAAATTGGGATTTAACGCAATACACGACTCTCAGTTTCTCAATGCTTTACATAAGTCTATTATCGATAGAAAATAAAGGAAGATTTCAAACTGTAGCTTCTTACTATACTTTCATACCTACTATATAGACATCTCAAGAAGAAGATCCTTTACAAGTACCATCGTTCTAGA